CAGCTCCCTGCATACACCATGTACAGCCCAGTGATGATGCCAATGAAAGGCTCTTACCTATATGGTTAGCTAAATCCAGGTGGTGACTTTTGTTTGGCCAGGCAGTGTACTTACACATTACATCGGATGGGATAGTTATTATGATTGCATCAGTCTATAAGTACTGTATGTGACATTAACATGTAGCCACTTTAATTGTTACAATGGGAAACCGAGGCCTGTTTGTTTGTTGGAACATCTCTCTTGTATCTTCATCTGAACTGGTATGATAGGTTCTTGGTTTATATCATGGGAGGAGGTCAGACGGGGTCTTGTGTACTGGAGTGTTTTATCGGAAAACTTGACTTTTGAGAATCATCAGATTTCCAGAAATGTTCAACAAGAAATCAGAATTCCTGATAATAATGACGTAGGTCTGGCACGTTGTGTCTGCACCCCTTTAGCTGCACGCGGTGTTGGGTATAGGTGGAGCGTGGGCAGCACTTCGATGTGTTTAGTTGTTCAGCCTCCATTCTTTGTATGTTGGCTCAGAGCTTTCATGGTGATTTGCAATGACTTTCCTTCCGTCTTTTATAGGAGGAAGTCGTATCTTGGCCATAAAAACAGGTCGCCATTAATGGACATTATTTCACTCTGGGTCTGTTTTTTATGAAAAGAGAATTCAGAATAGAAAATATTAATCAACTTACATTAAACTACATGGTTGGATGTGAGGGGGCAGCAAAGTCTATTTTTCCCCCCTCAGCTTTGTATAGAGTGGGGAAGGGTTGCAGCAACTGTCTGGGTCCCTTTCGGGGAGATTTTTCCTCCCTTCCTGTTCTGGTGACTCATTCTAAGAGTTTTCTCCTAAAGACAAAATGGAACAGGGGGTGCATAAAGTAGCAGCATCTGATGCCCATGTGCTCAGGTCCTCCAATGTCCTTGTCCCATATCATTCTTTGTGCCCTTCACCTGATACTAATTTGGAAATATTATCTGATGTGAGGCATATAAGGGGTGAGTGTGGAATCCACTTAGAAAATGCCTTCATCTGTATCCAGCCAGTGTACCCACACAGCATACATCAGCATGTCCACATTCTCGCCTCCCAGTCCTCACTCTCCTGCATTGTGACAAACAATGATTATCCCGGGACCAGCATGACTATCCCTGGAGGAAAGAAGTGCTTCTGGGTAACTGAAGTTATATGAGGACACTTGTAAGCTGTAATATTGCTTAAAGGAGAACTATGGGGTCAGTGTTTTTCCCCATAGTTCTCCTTAGGGTAACGGGAGGACACAAACTAGCGTCCTCCCGTCACCCTAAGCTCAGTATACCGCGAGCTACAGCTCCCTATATACTGAGACGCTGCAGCCGGAGCGGATCACGACTTGACGGGATCCGCCCAGCTGCGTGAGTGACAGCTGGCTCTGCCTATCTAGAGGCAGAGCCAGCTGTACCCGCCCCCCTCCCCCGTCCGTTCCTCCAGTCAGCGCTGGAGGATCGGAGCGGGGAATCCAGACCCTCCCCTGTCACGGCAGAGAGCTATGACAGGATCGAGAGGTGAGCGAACGCCGGTATGTGTTCGCTCACCTCCCGATCTACTGAGCCGACCTGTGACAGTCTCATTGTCACAGGTCGGCTAGAACTATGAGGTGAGTGAAAAGCCCCTCCCCCTCCTCATAGTTCTCCTTTTAATGTATGGAGGAAGTGACACACTGACAGAAGCTCGGTTATCACATAAAACCTCTTCGGGGGTGTAAAGTAATTGTTTTCTTGCACTTTTACTCTAATTTTATTAGGTTTATATACAAATTCCATGTTTCCTCTTGTCTGTCTGAGTGCTGCTACGGTTTTTTTTCCATTGCTGTGCTAGTTTCTGATGATACACCTTTGGTATGAAGATGTTTTCTCAGGGGAGAGACTGGAGGAGATAAAGATAAACTAAATAAGTCATTCAAAATTCGACATGAGGACGAGCCAATATCATCTCCAATGCACCACATCCCTGATTTTTAAAGCGGGACAATCCGAGTAGAATAATGGGACTTTTCAGGTGCTACCTCAATGGACTAACACAGGCACATTTCTTGTTGTGTATAAAGATTACTCGGATCGGTGGGGTCAGGAGGGGGGTATGTCGGGATTATGTAGGGGACTATATTGGACACAACCAGAAGTACCCGATTTTTTTTAATGTACTTTGTACAAAAGAAATGTGTGTGTGGGAATCCATTGAGGTCGCACCTGAAAAGTAAAATTTTTCTACTCGGGTTGTCTTGTTACAAATAAGTAATTATGGTGAAAAATAAACAGCTAATCAAGCGTGAATTCTCACGGCGGCGCGTAAGCCGCTGCTTTCTTTCATTGATGTATAGACTTCGAGGGGAGGTTTATTTGCCACTCTGATGTAACATAGAGACGTACAGAAAAGTTAGGGTGAGATTTTCCAACTTGTGTCCATCATCTGTCAGCAGTTTTCCGATGAATCCTTACTCATGTCATCCGTGGTGAGAGCGCCCCACGCCTAGCAGTAGAGTCCAACACTGTTGGAACCGATAATATCGACATCTATGATACAGCTGTGATGCAAAGATGTTCCTTGATATCTTGAACTGAATCAGCACGTGTCTGTTTGTTACGCAAATGAAGACCATCAAAGGGTTCCTGGGCTGGACACTGAGGAATGAAGATCTGCCAGGACGGTCATGTCCTGGGGCAAGCCCGACCCCCTGCTGGTATTTAATGCCCACACCTGTGTCAGCAAGGCATATATGCTGGGATGGGGGCAGGGGCATATGATGGAACCTTCTTCCTGTGTGACACTAACCTAGCTCAACCGCAAGACCTTTGGACAAGACAAGTCTTTCTGAGCTCTGCAATCAAGAAAGTGATTCGCTGAGACCCTGCTGGAGAGGCGTGTCCTGAGAACAGAGAACAACCCCATGGCATGTGTGAATGAGAGAGAGAATGGTGTAGCTAGCTGTAGGATCCTTAACCTCAATTCCTATCCCTCCAAATGCCCCCTTCCCGATTCCCTTAATTGTAATTAGAATGTATGTGTATCCCTATTTGTAAATAAACCCCCCAACACTTATTCAAGATTCAGTTGTTCATCAGTAATTTAAGGCACCCCCAAATCAGAGCACATTCCACAAACAAAATCACAAGAATGAAAAGCGCCACTACTGTAGAAACCCACTCACGTTACTGATGTCGGCATATGGCGTGTCAGCTCGTCTAGAGATGCCGGAGAGCAGTCTGAGCAAGCTGTCAGGGGTGATCGTTTGAACGCCGCGGTCTCAGCTGGCCAGGCTGAGCCGCAGCTGTGTGGATATACGGCGATGTCAAATGCCGGACTGTTCGGGGACCCACAGAGAGCGTGTCTCGAGGGTGTCAAAAAAACGAAGGGGATGGAAGGAGATGGACAGGGGCAATGTCAAGTGCCGGCAGCTATGCGTTTCGAGGCTCTGCCTTTTTGTCAAGCCTAAGTGAGGAATGCAATGGAATCCACAAACACCTTTCCAAATCTTCTTGAGTAACAATGCTGATTGTTTGTTGGTGCCTGAGATATAACCTAATGATCAGTAAATTTCATTGGCTAAAATCTGAGGCTCGCACAGATGAGACAATGCTTTACATTGAAGGTGGTAGGGTCAGTTACAATTATTATTACAGTGGGGCAAAAAAGTATTTAGTCAGCCCCCAATTGTGCAAGTTCTCCCACTTAAAAAGATGAGAGGCCTGTAATTGGCATCATAGGTAGACCTCAACTATGAGAGACAAAATGAGAAAACAAATCCAGACAAAACTGACTAAATACTTTTTTGCCCCACTGTATATAGGATTTATAGAGCGCCAACAGTTTGCACAGCGCTTTACAAAATTGAGGGAGACAATACAATTTCAGTACAATAGGGCTTAGAGGGCCATGCTCGTGATAGCTTAAAATCTAGTAGGAGGGGCAAGTGATACAAAAGTAATCATTGTGTGGGATGATTTAATAAAAGAACTGAAAGTACTGTTATATCGAGGTGGAATAGACTTCCCTGAAGAGATGAGTTTTGAGGGATGGCCTAAAGGCGGACAGAGTGGGAGATAAGTGGACAGATCGGGGTAGGGAGTTCCAGAGAATGGGAGACACTCTGGAAAAGTCCTGGAGGCGAGCATGGGAGGAGGTGACGAGAGCTGGAGGTCTTGGGAGGAGTGAAGGGGGCGGTTTGGGTGATGTAGGTTGGGGCGGATTTGTAGATGGCTTTTTAGGTCATTATTACAATGAGAGATATAGCAGGTATACCATATTTTGGGGGTGCTGTAGGTCTTCTAACCGGCCCCCTACGTCACCACTGTTTCCTACTGAGACATAGGAGCCAGTGAGAGGAACCAGTGTGCCCAGCAGCAAAGACACCCCCTTACCCAGAAGTGTCAGGTAGCAGCGTCGCTCAGAGCTCTTCAAGAGAGCGGAGATGTAACACACCACCTACCGGAAAGGTAGATTCAAACCATCTTCATTTGTAGGGGGGCTCTCTTTGAACTTTTTAAAATATAGTGACGGAGTTGCTTTAAGAAATAAGCCGCGCTCTAAGGAATAAGCCGCGCTCTATGACGAGGTAAACGGGAAGTGGTAAAGATGGATACCTGGTTTACACAACACAGAAATACAATGCCAGGCAGTGCCAGTCTGAGGTCAGATTGCCAACTGATAGCATACCGTATATACTGGAGTATAAGCCGAGATTTTCAGCCCATTTTTTTGGCTGAAAAGTGCCCCCCTCGGCTTATACTCGAGTCAGCGCCAGCGCGTCTTCTATGGAAGAGAGTAGAACAAAAAGAAAAAAGGCAACTTGTTTATATAGCTGAGCACCTTTGTCACGGCATTTATCAGCAAATAGTCACTCAGAGGTGGAGTTTCCTGTCTAATGGCATCGCAGATACTAAACATTTTGTCCATTTCATGTTCATAATACATTCTGGTGAAATCTGCATTTATTTATAATTATTTTTTCTCCATTTGTCCACAGAAAACGTCCACGTTGATGAGCCGACGTTTGTCCCACACCATCAGCTGTTTCTTCAGATCTTCCATCAGACTGGTGAGATGCTTCTGTCATCCGTATTTCTCATATAAAGAAGTCATTCGGTATATTCAGTGTAGGAAGTGATTGTGGAAAAACCAGTTCCAGGCAAGAAGTCCAATGAAGTCATTGGATAGCAAAAGCAGAAAATATGGAAATCTTCCAATAACGGCGCGAGATTTATTGACATTTCTTTGGTACTGAAATAGGTTAATGAATTCCATGCTGACTGACGTAGATTATTATGATTCATGAGACTGAACACTATAAGCACCAGTTAGATGAGCAGTCTTATTACAAGGGAAACTATAATTACTGTTTGGGTCGTTTTACTTAAAGGAGAACTATGAGGTGAGTGATTTTCACTCACCTCATAGTTCTAGCCGACCTGTGACAATGAGACTTTCACAGGTCGGCTCAGTAGATCGGGAGGTGAGGGAACACATACCGGCGTTCGCTCACCGCTCGATCCTGTCACGGCTCTCTGCTGTGATAGGGGAGGGGCTGGATTCCCCCCTCCCCGCTCCGATCTGCCAGCGCTGACTGGCGGAACGGACGGGGGAGGGGGCGGGTACAGCTGGCTCTGCCTCTAGATAGGCAGAGCCAGCTGTCACTCACGCAGCTGGGCGGATCCCGACGTCCATGTCGGGATCCGCTCTGGCTGCGGCGTCTCAGTATACTGAGCTTAGGGTGACGGGAGGGCGCTAGTTTGTGTCCTCCCGTTACCCTAAGGAGAACTATGGGGAAAAGCCCTGACCCCATAGTTCTCCTTTAAGACAGAAAGTATGCTCAGTTATTTGAGATGCACTATATTGCCAAAAGTATTGGGACGCCTTTACACGCAAATGAACTTTAATGGCATCCCAGTCTTAGTCCGTAGGGTTCAGTGTTGGGTTGGCTCCGCCCTTTGCCACTATAACAGCTTCAACTCTTCTGGGAAGGCGTCCACAAGGTTTAGGAGTGTGTCTATGGGGATGTTCGACCATTTGTGAGGTCAGGTACTGATGTTGGGGGAGGGGCTCGCAGTCTCCGCTCTAATTCATCCCAAAGGTGTTCTATGGGGTTGAGGTCAGGACTCTGTGCGGCCAGTCACGTTCCTCCACCCCAAACTCC